CCTTTAATGCAACTCCATAGTAATGGCAATCGATTATTAATGTACTTTTCTGAAAGACATTGACCACTTTTTAATAGTGCAATTTGTTTAGCAATCTCAAGAGTAAGTTTTACTTTACCTGCACATTGCAGACACCATTGTCCTAAATTTTTAATTCTAGAAAGTGGGGCACTCCATATATGGTTCTTAGAACAGCATCACATTAATGGAGTTCTGTTATCTTTATATTCAGTTGAAAGACACATTCTATCACATTCTTTAGCAATTATACATGCATCATTTAATGATAGCTTTTTCATTGTTTTTTTGTCGTAGCTGAATCTCTTTTTGCAGATCTAATGGAGTATCGAATCTTAATCTAATTGCATATGGATCATCTTCTGGCTTGTTTAAATCAAACACAATAAATTCTCCTTTGTGAAGGTATTTGCTAATAACCATTGAAGCATTTTTAACATCATCAGTATATTGCCAAAAGATTTTAGAAATCTCTTCACATGAACTACCAGAGTTAAACATCACTAGATAGGAGATATTTTCACGAATAATAATAGGGACTTTATGATAGCGTTGAATTATGTAAATAGGTGAAATATTTCTATGATGCCCATGAGTAAAGAAGGGGATAATTTGATTTTGTATATACTTCGGGGTGATACACAAGTCCTCAAAAATGATAATAGTGCTCCTTTTTGGTGAGAATGATTTCACATTTGGAATCCTTTCAGAAGAAATATAGCTGAACCGAATATTTTCATAATATGGTGCTCTAGGATCCTTCGCAATTATTCCATACATATATTTAACAAATGTCTATTTCGGCTCATTAGGATGGTAACCACAAACTATCAAATCATTGCACCTAATATATCTGGATCTCCCCTTTTGTCTTTTGTATATATGCTCACTTTTATCTCTGAGAATAAGATTTGCAAGTATATTGGTCTTACCAGTACCACTCTTCCCAGAGACTAGCATACTAAAGGCAAGTCAGGTGATGCTTCATGTCCTTTCGTTTAGGATGATTTATGCTTTGTGACCTCATCTATATCCATAAGGTAAAGTTTCGTAGGGAGTAGTCCTGTTTTTTGGTTCTTCTGCATTGTAGATTGGAACTTTGTAACTCTGATTTCTATTAAAAGGTGTTATATATTTCGGAAAAATTTCTTCCTTTTTATCAGAGTAAAAAAAACATCTATATATATACTATATAATTAGTATAATCATTAAAGCAAGAATCATGAGTTCGAATATAGGCAGAAGCATATACTGATTATCAACTAAAGCCTTACCAGCTCCTAATATAATAATGGGCGAGGTTGAAATACTATCATGTTTTTCTTTTGATTTTTGATCAACATGAAGATGGTCTCTTTGAGTCCCTATCTCATCTTTTACTTTTCTTTCATCAGGTTCAGACTCTAAGCAGTGTGAAGAAAAATAGGATACCTCTTCTACTGCTTCACCTCGCTTATAATCATTGAATGATGAAACTGGATCTGCTTCTGCACTACCTATTTTTGAATCATGAATTGTCTGATGCAGTTACAAAATAATCTGATCTAGTTCATCTTTCAGATTACTTACCCTGGATCTGAGGCAGAAAATTAACCCATCCTTAAATAATGAATTTTGCGTAACTTTCTCCAGTCCATTTTCCAATTCTTTTGCTTTAATTTCAAGAGAGAGATTGCTATACAACTGGTTAGTATCAGAATCTTTTAATAAAACTTTTTGCGTAGCTTATTCCAACTCAGCCTCCAGTTCATTTATTTTAATTCCAAGAGAGATGATATCAGAATCCTTCAAAGATGAAGCTTTTTGCATTGAAGATATTATGCTTT